CTGACTCTTTGACTGGTGGCTCCTCGGTTGCTCAGTCCTAGCTCTGCGCTCCCAGGGAGGCCTCTCTGAATGTTGGCGCTCCATAGTGGGGGGTGGTCCAGATTCTGTATCTTCCAGAACTCCCACTTCCTGCATGTTCAACACACTGAGGAGACAGAGCACCCTGGGGCTCCATTAGCAGATGATGTGGGAATTTCACTTAGACATACACTGGATTTGTTTGGAAGAAATCGGTTAACAGGCCGCATGGGGCGGAGACTTAGACCCCAAAGGAATTCTCAAGTGACAAAAAACAGTTGCCACTCTGCTTTCTAAGGAGGTGGATGCTGTTAGCAGAACGTCTTTGTTCGGGAAGAATTGGGTTTGGGCCAGGAGCCGCACAGCCCGATTGTTCCGCGGGAGAGAGGGAGTGAGGAGGGATTTTGAAGTGAAGTGAAGAAATGGATGCGGAGTTACAGGTGGGCAGCAAGGCAGCTGCCCTGAGAAAGGAGGCAAGGTCCGGCCCCCTGGGGGTAGAGCCAGGGGCAGGGGCTCAGGAGAACAGAAATCCCTATGGGGAATTTTCAAGTTATTTGCGTGGAGATCTCCAAGGTCAACCCCTCCCCTCCCCCCGCCCTCCACAACATCAAAAACCACACTTGTTTTCTAGTGCTTTTGTGTGAGTGCTGGCAGCCGGGGACTGTGGGCCCTGGGGGAGTGTGTGCTCCTAGCAGGGGTAGTGGAGGGCCCCGTACACAGTGGTGGTGGGAAAATCTGTTAAGTGTTTGGAGAACCTTGGGTAAAATTCTCACTTTCACTTCCAGATTTTAAAGAGGTAAACGCAAAAAGAAAGACAAAAGAGAGCAGTCACAAGTAAACTAAAAGAAAATATTTCATTTTGGGAAGGAGAAGGATTTTCTAAATATAAGAGTCAGTAAGGAAGTCCCAAAGGAAAAGATAGACACAGGTCAAAAAATGCTAAAAGACTTAAGAGCAAACCACAGTCTGGGTAAAAATATTTGCTACGAATACCACACAGGGTTAATGTCTGTATTGTTAAAAACATTTTTTTTAATATTTATTTATTTTTGAGAGAGAGACACACAGAGTGTGAGTGGGGGAGGGGCAGAGAGAGAGGGAGACACAGAATCGGAAACAGGCTCCAGGCTCTGAGCCGTCAGCACAGAGCCCGACGTGGGGCTCGAACTCACAGACTGAGAGATCATGATCTGAGCCGAAGTCGGACGCTTAACCGACCAAGCCACCCAGGTGCCCCTAATATCTGTACTGTTGGGGAGGAAAATTTTTTCTTTACTCTCCTAAGGTTCTTCTCACTGGTCTAAGAATTAAATTGACATGAGACTGATGAACAGGAGAAAATAAAATTTAACTGCACACATATGTGACAGATTAAAACACAGACAGGTAAAATGAGGTATATATGCCATCTTGAGCTAAGGAATGGGATAGGACCTGGGCTTCAAAGAGCAGGAGGGCAATTTACAGGGCAGTAAGAACAGGCCCAGATGTTTGGTATTAGATGTTTGCCCAGCCATACAGATGGGTCACTCAGATAAGGTTTCTCTCTGGAGATAACTCTTATTCTGGGAAAGACTCCCAGTTTAGATCCCTATAGGTAATTAAGGAAGAGGCAAAAGTTTCTCTTTTTTTTTCTTTTCCTAAATCAACATGAGTATTTATTTATTATTTTTTAAATTTTATTTTTTATGTTTAAAAATTTACATCCAAATTAGCATATAGTGCAACAATGATTTCAGGAGTAGATTCCTTAGTGCCCCTCCCCCATTTAGCCCATCCCCCCTCCCACACCCCGTCCCTAACCCTCAGTTTGTTCTCCATATTTGAGTCTCTTATGTTTTGTCCCCCTCCCTGTTTTTATATTATTTTTGCTTCCCTTCCCTTATGCTCATCTGTTTTGTCTCTTAAAGTCCTCATATGAGTGAAGTCATATGATTTTTGTCTTTCTCTGACTAATTTCACTTAGCAGAATACCCTCTAGTTCCATACATGTGGTTGCCAATGGCAAGATTTCATTCTTTTTGATGGCCGAGTAATACTCCATTGTATCTATATACCACATCTTCTTTATCCATTCATCCATCGATGGCCATTTGGGCTCTTTCCATCCTTTGGCTATTGTTGATAGTGCTGCTATAAACATGGGGTGCATGTGTCCCTTCGAAACAGCACACCTGTATCCCTTGGATAAATGCCTAGTAGTGCAATTGCTGGGTCGTAGGGTAGTTCTATCTTTAATTTTTTGAAGAACCTCCATACTGTTTTCCAGAGTGGCTGCACCAGCTTGCATTCCCAGAAGAGGCAAAAGTTTCTCTTGAGTCCACGGGGCCTCAATTGCCTTCAGCTCAAAATAGTCCACATGCAAAAGTAGTACGTTTGTGGGAGACTTGTTCAGAACCTTTTAACTATATAGAGATTCCAAACAGGTTGATAAGACACCATTAATACCCAATGGCACAATATGCAAAAGACCAGAAAAGACCATTCGCCAAAGAAATCTAAATGACTAATAAACATGGGAAAGTATTTAAATCAGTAGCCAAAGACTTATAAGACAAAAAAGCAAGGTATATTTAGGTAGTGGGATTATAAATGACCCAATAACATTGCTTTCTTTTGGTGAACTGCATTTTCTAATTCTTTTTTTTAGTAACCTCATTTATTACTTGTCTTAAGAGAAGGTTCGGAAAGCACATGATACTATCAAATAACAAATGTCTAGCTAATGTCAGTGACTTTCAGTTCTGGCGGATCGTGGGCATTTTTTTTCTTTCAAGCTTTTGTGCATTTTTAACTTCTACGATTCATTTGTCTTTTCAACAACAACTAAATAGCACTTTACGTAATAGAACAAATTTGCAAGTTAAAATAAATTCCTTCTTGCTAACCTCCCAGAAGTCTGGGCCCTGTATGCAAATAGGATTCCTGGGAACACCCACACACCCACTCCCCAGCAGGAAGGCCAGTTGAACCCGAGAGACTCTCTCTCCCACCCCATCTCCCAAACAAAGGGGTACTTTAGCCCTTCCCAAACCACATGTACACCCCCTCAAGCTGCCCTGCCCCCATCTCCAGGGTCCTCCCTGATGCCTCCTCCCCCTCAGCTTTGGCCTGCCAGTGCAGAGGGGTGGGCCATCCACGCCCTTCGGAGGCTGGGCGAGGTGGCCATGCAGTGTCCCGAGGGGGCCCTGGTACAGACTAGCTTTGAGAGGTCAGAATCAAACTGTGATCTCCGCCCACAAGTGCCACCATCCACCCTCTAATTACTCCTGGGTGTCTGTTCTGGGCTGAATTGTATCCTCTCAAACTTCACGTGTTGAAGTCCTAACCCCCAGGACCTCCGAATGTGACTGTTATGTGGAGATGAGGCCTTTAAAGGGGTAATTAAGTTAGGAGGAGGTCATTAGGGTGGGCTTTAATGCAATGTGACCGGTGTCCTTGTGAGAAGAGGACATTTGGGTGCACACACAGAGGGGAGAATGGCATGTGAACCTGAAGACCACGTATAAATCAAGGAAAGACTGGGAACGGCCCTCGGCGCCCAGAGGGAACGGGTCCTACCGACACCTTCATACCTGAACTTCTGTGAGCAAATGCATTTCTGTTGTTCGAGACTCCCAGTCTGTGGTACTTGGTTCTGGCAGGCCCGGCTGACTAATACAGAGTCTGTGGGCACAGGATTAGGCTTTCAAAAGGAATCCCAAAGAGGTTTAGATGGCTACTTGCAAAAACCGTATTACCCAGTTTGAGAGACAAGTTACCTAGCAGTTGTCACAACACAGCCCAGCGGACCAAACGCACATTCCCAGGAACGTGCAGGTTCCCAGAATCTAGGATGTTGGCAAGACTTACAGATGGGGCCAGCCAGAGGCCAAACCATGGGGTGTGGTGGGGGGTGGGGGCCATAGGGCTTTGCTTTCAGGCTTCCCTGCTCTCTCCCAGCCTCCCCCCACCCCCATCTGCTAGTCACCTACAGGGTACAGGGCTGGGGGCAGGGGTGGGGGCGTGGAGGCGGCAGAGCCTTGAGCCACCCCTCTGCTCACAGCTGCCAGTCTGCATGGAGCCAGCTTTGCTCCAGCCTCAGGGCATCCTTCAGGCTGTGTTGCCACATCTGACCCCTGTGGACGGTTGACCCATCTGGATGGGCTGTGCCTGCTGTCTGTTCTTACCAGATGCCCCTCAACACAGAGGAGTGGGGAGAGGGGTTCTTTCCCCTCAGAGCAGATTTCCCCAGTGGTACTGCTCTAAGGGAGAATTATTCACTGCTCTCTCGCTCCACACTTGCCGTTTTAGCCTCCTTAGCTCAGGAAAGAATGATTTGGAGAAGCGATGAAAAGCTTTAGGTCCTTCCCTGGAAAAATGCGCATGCACAGACCCCCCTGCGCCCCACCTCTGAGATTCGAACTGTTTCCGGTTATTTGCATTCCAGGGACCCGCAGACTCCTGAAACTCACCTGCCGTGTGGCTTATAGGCAAACAGAGGTGTGGACAGGTGGAGGGAGGTTGGGCAGGGATGCAGTCCAGGAGAAATTCACCAAAGAAGTGGCCTCTGCGGGGAAGTTGTAAGAACACTCTGGCTGATCCTGGAAGGCTGTCCCTAGAGGGAGGAAGAGGTCTCATTTCCTCCTGGAAGCCAAGGGAGTGTTGGAGGGTTCTGGGCAGAAGGGAGGCATGGAGGAAGCGGGGCTTTGGGAGCAAGTCTCTGAAAGCATAGCCCTGGGGCGCCTGGCTGGCTCAGTTGGTTAAGCCTGCGACTTTGGCTCAGGTCATGATCTCCTGATTCGTGAGTTAGAATCCCATGTTGGGCTCTGTGCTGACGGCTCAGAGCCTGGAGTCTGCTTCGGATTCTGTGTCTCCCTCTCCCTCTGTTCCTCCCCCACTTGCACTCTGTCTCTCAAAAATAAATAAAGATTAAAAACAATTTAAAAAATTTTACAAAATTTGACAAAATTAAGGATTTCCAGATGAGATCATCCTGGAATTAGGGTGGGCCCTAAATCCAACGACCGGGGGTCCTTAGAAGAGAAAGGGGAAGGAGTGGAGAATGAGACACAGAGGGAACCACATGAAGACGGAGGCAGAAGGGGAGTGAGTGCCACGTCTTACAGGCCCAGGAACACGCAGGGTGGCCAGCAACCACCAGAAGTTAGGGGAGAGGCGTGGAGCGAATTTTCTCTCAAAGCTCCAGAAGGAACCAACCTTGCTGACATCTTGATTTCTGACTTCTGGTCTCCAGAACTGTGAGAGCATAAAGCCATCCAGTGTGCTGGTTTATGACCACAGCCCTAGAAACTAACATGGCTTCATATGGTGATCGTAGGTGTTGGAAAAGGACCTCCTGGTTGAGTAAGTTTTGGGACCTGTGATAAACTATAGCCTTCTTTGCTGAGGAACCGCTCAGAGCGCTTTAAGAGGCTATGGAGCTTTCGGAATTTCCAAGGCGGGTGGGAATCAGTATGGAACACTCACTTCCCAAGCATAACTAATCAAGAAACTCTTATGTCTTAGCTCGGGCTGCCATAACAGAACATCACAGACTGAGTGAACACTTCCGGAGGCTGCAAATCCACGATCAAGGTGTCGGCTGGGTTGGTTTCTGGTAAGTTGGCACACAGCCTTCTCGCTGTGTCCTCAGATGGACTCTCCTCTGTGTGTACAGACAGAGACAGCAAGCACTCCAGTGGCTCTTCCTCTTCTTAAAATATATGTATTTTTAATGTTCACTTATTTTTTTTTCAACGTTTATTTATTTTGGGGACAGAGAGAGACAGAGCATGAACGGGGGAGGGGGCAGAGAGAGAGGGAGACACAGAATCGGAAACAGGCTCCAGGCTCTGAACCATCAGCCCAGAGCCCGACGCGGGGCTCGAACTCACGGACCGCGAGATCCTGACCTGGCTGAAGTCGGACGCTTAACCGACTGCGCCACCCAGACGCCCCATTGTTTACTTATTTTTGAAAAAGAGAGAGACAGAGTGTGAGCAGGGGAGGGGCAGAGAGAGAGGGAGACACAGAATCAGAAGCAGGCTCCAGGCTCTGAGCCATCAGCGCAGAGCCCGACGCGGGGCTTGAACTCGCAGACCGCGAGATCGTGACCTGAGCTGAAGTTGGACGCTTAACCGACTGAGCCACCCAGGCGCCCTAATTACTTCCTTTTTTAAAAAAATGAATTTTATATATTTTTAAATCCTCAAAACAACCCTTTGAGGTTGGTCGTATTATCATCCCATTTGCAGATGAAGAAACCAGGGACACATAGAGGCTGAACAATGTGCTCAAGATCATACAGCTAGAAAATGGTGGCTCTGGGTCTGCATGTGAACAGTCTGGCTTCACAGTCTGTATTCTTTTTTTTTTTTTTTTTTAGGTTTTTTTTTTTTTTTTTTTTGGCGGGCACCTGGGTGGCTCAGTTGGTTGAGCAACTGACTTTGACTCCGGTCATGATCTCATGGTTTGTGAGTCTGAGACCCACATGGGGCTCACTGCTGTCAGTGCAGAGCCCACGTCACAACTTTAGATCCTCTGTCCTCCTCTCTCTCTGCCCCTCCCCCACTCACACTCTCTTTAAAAAAAAAAAAAAAGGATTTTTGTTTTCAGTAGGCTCCATGCCCAACATGGGGCTCAAACTCACAACCCTGAGATCAAGAGTGGCATCCTCCACTGACTGAGCCAGCCAGGCACCCCCTGAGTGTGTATTCTGGTTCTGTTAGGCTGCCTCCTTTCATGAGACAGTGACAAGTTTTTAGACCAGCGTGCAGGACTGGAAGCGTTGTGTGGCTAATTTTTCAGAAAATACAATCTGCTGAAATCTGTGCTCTGATGTAACAAAAAAGGAAAGGATTTAAAAAGTCCTCAGTCCAGTAAACAAAACCCCCATCTACACATTCATCCAGCTGCATATATAGGATTGTGCGTGTGTGTGCGTGTGTGTGTGTGCACATGCATGCCTTAATTACTTCCTTGAAGGCCCTATCTCTAAATGCAGTCGCACTTGGGGCTTACAGCTTCAACATACCAATTTTAGGGGGTTATATTTCAGTCCATAGCATCTGACTTCATGAGACTGGTACACCACACACACACAGCTGGGGAAACGCACATGGAGTTGACTTGACCTTGATCACAGGGGTAATGGGGGAGGGGGAGGGGCTGCCATCCATCCCTGCTTGGATAAAGATGTCCTTGGCAGTGGCAGGAGAGGAGAAAGAGCACATAGTAGATCTTTTTTTTTTTTTTAAAGGGCACGATATTTTGCAGCTCCTCGGGTCGAGAGATGGGGACTCTTTTCTCTACCCCTGACCAGGGCTTGGTCGTGTGATTTGCTTTGGTTGAGGGGGCAGTAGGAACACGACAGAGCAGAGGCGTAAAAAGTGGTTGGGTGCTGAGGGCTTGGCTTCTCTTGCTCCTTTTGGAGCCCAGCGGCCAAGTGAAGAAATCTGACTTGTTTGAGTATGAGATCACCATGGTCTGGTTGCCCCCCACCACCCCAGCCAAACACTAGACCCTTGAGTGGTGCCATCTGAGACCCAGACCAGCCAGTTTCCAACCCACCTGCCCGCTGACTGCAGCCACACAGTGAACCCAGGGAGGGAAGCCCAGCGGAAGAACCACTCCACTCAGGCCGGCCCACAAAATATAGTAGCAGTAGTGGTAATTGCTTTAAACTACTTACTTTTGAGGTGGTTTGTTCCATGCTAGTAAAGGCCAGTTCGAAGAAACTCGTGACGTCCGGCTTTCTGCGGAGTGGTCTTCTCAGGACGCTTCTGTCTGTGCCACGTCAACCTTCTCAGTGTTACAGAGAAATGGTCCTTGCCACCAATCTTGCTACTAAAAGTTTTTTAACCTCTTGAAAGTATCAGCATGATGAACATCAGGTGAAAATACCTTAAAGTGATACCGCACAAAAATGAGATATGAACTATATTAGGTCAGTCCCTAAAATCAGCCACAAACTGGCTACAGAGGAATTGAGAACGTGTTTTAAATGGTAGACTGTGTTAAACATGTAAAAACAGACCTATCTTGGGGTGCCTGGGTGGCTCAGTCGGTTAAGCATCTGACTTTGGCTGAGGTCGCGATCTCTTGGTTCAAAGTTTTGAGCCCCACATTGGGCTCTGTGCTGACAGCTCAGAGCCTGGAGCCTGCTTCGGATTCTGTGTCTCCCTCTCACTGCCCCTCCCCTGCTCGAGCTCTGTCTGTCTATGTCTCTGTCTCTTTCTCTCAAAAATAAACATAAAAGGGGCACCTGGGTGGCTCAGTCAGTTAAGCGTCTGACTTTGGCTCAGGTCGTGATCTCACAGTCCGTGAGTTCAAGCCCCGCGTCAGGCTCTGTGCCGACAGCTCAGAGCCCGGAGCCTGCTTCGGATTCTGTGTCTTCCTCTCTCTTTGCCCCTCCACCCCCCCCC